CTGTGAGGTCAGTTTTAGGGTCACCTGTGAGGTCAGTTTTAGGGTTTGTGGTCAGGGTTAGGCTGTAGAAATGTAATGGAAATGAATGGAAGTCAATGAACAGTCCTAATAAGGATAGAAATACAAACATGTGTGCATGTGTGTGTGTGTGATTTAGTGACTGCAGCTCCACCTCAGGCTACTTGTTAGCTGCTGGAAGCTCTAAGTTTAAAGAGAAGCCACAAGCCGTGTTTCCATCCAATTTTAATTCAAATTTTGAGCGAATTTTGTAAAATTTGCAAAAATGTAAAAACGAATAAATGCGAATCAGACGCGTTTCCATCAAATGTCTTGAAGCGAATCAGTTACCATCTCTCTTTTTGCGCATTAACTCTTTAAAAAAAACCACCTCAAGTGAGCGTATCAAGTTTGATGCGAACTAGAGGAATTTTTTCCAATCAAGCCATTTCCATTCACCTTTTCTGATGCGATACTTCAAAATGTAAAGAGTTTCAGAACTTGGATGAATTCTTTACAAAGTTCTTCTTTAGTCTTTTCTTCAAACATTTGCCCTGGTTAAAAACAGATTTATTGATTTCTGTCTGGTTCTAGGTGGGCTGAGACACTTTGATTTATTCTAACTCAATAAATGTAAATCCCAGTTTGTGCATTAGTTGTGTTTGTGTTTTTGTACTTTTCAACCATACAACCCCCAGAATGTGAGTCAGCCTGTCGCCCAGCAGCAGGAACAGGTGGCCCTGCCAATCATCAATGTATTGATCCAATCTGCCACCTGGAGCCCACTGCTCCTGACTCACACCAACACTGTGATGGACTGTTTGCTCTGAGGTTTACCAATTACAGCATCAAATATTATCACATACATACACTAACAGGATTATTATTATTATTATTTAACAGGATCGTGTTTGTTTACAAGCTTATCAGCACTAACTGACATCTTGTTTCAATAATTTAATAAATGTCTAAAAAAGTGAATATACGTATTTAACAGAAAATGAAAACATTGAAGTTCCTCGTGTGGAAAAGTTTAGAAGATAGAGAGACGAGAAGAGAGGTCAGGGAACAGAGTACAACTGGATTCCTAACTTAAAAAGAAACTGCTGGTCTGAAAGTCAAAACAAGCATCAAAGGGAGTGTGTGTAGTGTGCTTTTTATTTCTCAGWCACACACAATCCGAGCTTTGCTAAGTGTAAGGTATCTGTTCCTGTGAGGCTTCTCACTGCAACACAAGGGAGTGAAGAACTCATACATTACTTATCAACGAACATTACTGAAGAGTTTGTGGACCTGAAGAGCTCTATACATCTGTCCAACTTACGACTTAATATAAATACTAATATATCATCAGCATACAGTCTGACACAGATCTTTAGAGAATTTACAGAAAACTACCCAGGTTACAACCAAATAAAACATAATATACAGTGGTTTGCAAAAGTATTCATACCCCTTGAACTTTTCCATATTTTGTCACATTACAACCACAAACATAAATATATTTCACTGGAATTTAATG